CCTTCTCAGCTGGTGGAGACTTAACTTTCACTGGGGCCTCTTCTGCTGAGGCCTTCTCAGCTGGTGGAGACTTAACTTTCACTGGTCCCTCTTCTGCAGGGACCTTCTCAGCTGGTGGAGACTTAACTTTCACTGGGGCCTCTTCTGCAGGGACCTTCTCAGCTGGTGGAGACTTAACTTTCACTGGGGCCTCTTCTGCAGGGGCCTTCTCAGCTGGTGGAGACTTAACTTTCACTGGGGCCTCTTCTGCAGGGACCTTCTCAGCTGGTGGAGATTTAACTTTCACTGGTCCCTCTTCTGCAGGGACCTTCTCAGCTGGTGGAGACTTAACTTTCACTGGGGCCTTTTCTGCAGGGACCTTCTCAGCTGGTGGAGACTTAACTTTCACTGGGGCCTCTTCTGCAGGGACCTTCTCAGCTGGTGGAGATTTAACTTTCACTGGTCCCTCTTCTGCAGGGACCTTCTCAGCTGGTGGAGACTTAACTTTCACTGGGGCCTTTTCTGCAGGGGCCTTCTCAGCTGGTGGAGACTTAACTTTCACTGGGGCCTCTTCCACTGACGCCTTCTCAGCTGGTGGAGACTTAACTTTCACTGGGGCCTCTTCTGCAGGGGCCTTCTCAGCTGGTGGAGACTTAACTTTCACTGGGGCCTCTTCTGCAGGGGCCTTCTCAGCTGGTGGAGACTTAACTTTCACTGGGGCCTCTTCTGCAGGGACCTTCTCAGCTGGTGGAGATTGCACTTCAGCAGAGATCTTTTCCATTGTCGGAGGCCTTACTTCAACTGCAAAGTCATGCTCATATACAAGTACTCGAGTATCTTCTTTGATTTGTTGACTAAATGAAGATCTGTTGGTACTTTTCTTCCTAATTTCCTCATTGCTACTTGTTGCAGGTTGAAATTGAGGATGCTCAGTAATTAAAGTCTTCCCTGAGGATTTATGTTCCTGCACAGCCTCCTTTGACTTTGAAAAAGAACTACTTGGTCTGCCAGTAACTACTTTTGATTCACCAAAGCTCTTCTGTTCTTTGTTTTCATCTCCAGAATGAATGGTTTGGTCAGATCTGTCTAATTTTTGTTGACCTGAGTGTTTGCTTGATGGAATTTCTACTCCATGAACACTCTCTGGAAATTCAGAAGCTGCTTCTCCAACAGCAGCTGGCTTTTCTTTAGGTACCACTGTTGCATCACCTGGCTTGGTTTCCTTTATCTCTTCAGTAATAATGTCTGTCTGCAAACATTCATCAACCTTATCTTGCCCACGCTTTCTCTTTGTCCAAGTTTTCTGAAGCTGAGAAGATAATCTAAGAGACTCATAGTTGACTTTGCTTTCAGGAATGTTACTAATATTAAGGTTAGCTTTGGGGCCACATGATTGTGGTATAGGCAAGAGACACTTTATCTCTGATATGTCAGTCTGTTGGGATTTGTCTACCATTGGTTGGGTAGGTCTTCTTTTCTTTCGAATTTCTTGCCTCCCTGCTGAGATAGGCTGATCAGGTTCATCACTTCCTTCCATATTTAAAACTGCTGAATTTGAAATTTACTAACAGCAGGAATCACAATGTACCAAATGGTTAAGCCTTTACTTTCCTTCATTAAGTGTTATCCGGTTGAGCTCTTTCAGAAAAAAAAGTAATTTATAAATTACTGAATTCTGCATTACACTTTTTGGACCCCACCTTACTCAGTAAGCATCTTTCTTATTTAGTCTCTACTGTGACTAAATTTCACTTCTAGAAGTTTTCCTCAAGTGTCTATGACATCATAGGCAATTCTCACTACAATGTTCCATCTATGGTACTCCCAGCACTTTTTAACTTGGTAAACACTCATGGGAAATGGCTGCAAGTGAGAGATCTACTTTTGAAACATCAAGTTGAAAAAGAATCTGTCTATCATGGGAACATAAGTAAACTCCAGTAATGCTGCTGTCTAATAACTAAAATTGATGCTTTTGAACTTTTAATTCTGTTCTTTTCATCCTACTATCAAAGACAGTTAAATTGCAGAGTTCACAATGCTGCAGGCTATTTTCAATTGTTGGAGAAAACAACTAACAGATATTTGACAATTTTCAATCAATGTATGATTTTGTGATTTGAAAGTTAATATTGTTTGAAAAATTTGAGTTCTGAGGACCAAATCCTTGTAAACGCCTTTCTTATGTCTTTAACATTCAGCAACACAAGAATATATATCTATCTATCTATATCTATATCTATATCTATCTATATAGATAGATATAGATATAGATATAGATAGATATATATTCTTCTACTCCATTGTGATATATATATGTGTGTATATATGTGTATATATATATAGTATGCCATGCTAGATATTTTTGTTTTCAACTATTTCAGAAAATAGTTTCATTCAAAGTTTGCCAAATAAATAATGTTGAGTCTAAAGATAAATCAAGTGAAAAAATAATGTATTTTAATGTAATCACTACATATTCTGCTTAATAACCACATAGAAATGAATTCCCCAATGAAAATTAAAAATTTAAACTGAAGCTTTGAAAAACAGAAACCTCATTTAGCAAACTGAAAATGGCACTATATTCTATTTGGAATATAAATAAAACTTTAACTTATATGTGACAAAAATTTTACTAGAAAGATGAACATTGGTCAAAAGATGTACAAAAATATATTTCTTTAGTCTAAAGAAAGTTCAAGAGGAGGAAATAGACTTTAAAAATATAGTATAATCAAAAGAGAAAAGGTAATAAACATTTAAACAATCATTATGACTTTATTAACCTGAAAATATTTTTTTTAAATGGTGGCTCAGTTGGTTGGAGCATTGTGCTGTACACCAAAAAGATGGAAGGTTTGATTTCTGGTGAAGGCACATACCTAGGTATGGATTTGATACCCGGTCAGGGGCATTTGGGTGGCAACCGATCAATGTTTTTCTCTTACATCAATGGTCTCTCTCTCTCTCTCTCTCTCTCTCTCTCTCTCTCTCTCTCTCCCTCTCTTCAAGAAAAAAAAATCAATAAACATATCCTAACCTGAGGATTTAAAAAATGTTAATGCTGTATTGCCTCTAGGAAATATAAAAGTATCATTGAATAATTCCCTTTATTTGATACACATTAGTCATAACTATAGCTAGGTTATCTTAGCCAAATAAATGAGGACTTTCCACATTTTTTGACCCAGCCCCTAAAACACTCTCTGTCTCTTAGAAGGGATCAGTGCATATTTGTTCAGTGTCATCATTGGAGGAAAATTATTAAATTGAAGGAACCATTATTTCAAAAAATTCTGACTGCTTGTCTTTTTTTCCCTTTCTTTATTGATTAAGGTATTACATATGTGTCCTTATCCACCCATTACCCTCTCCCTGACTGCTTGTCTTTTATCTCAACTACTTCTGCTCTCTTTGTCTATTCTACTTCATTGTGTTATATCTTTCAAACAGTCATTTACAATTGAATTGACATAGGTTTTAATAATATCTGATACAGTTTGAAAACTAGGTTATTTATCATCCTCTTTGTGTCTAGTGTTCCTTGCAATTGCATCTGTAAACTATTGCATGTGTATTTTATACTCAAGTTTCTGACATTTTATTTAGTATCTTCAGTGTCTATTTTGGGCCCATGTATAACAAGAAATAAGTGTCAAAAAGGGATTATAATAATTGAGTTAATATAACTGCATGTATCAGACTAATTTTGCTGCCACAACTTAAATAAAATTTTGTCAAATTTTCCAGAGACATAAACTGAATTTCTAATTTAGTTAAATTAAATTAGCAATTTCCTATTCTTTAATATTTATATATTTTTTTCATCCAGAAAATAATGAAAAGCTTGATCTTTCTTAATTATACACCAAGCTAACATAGTAAGCTGCCTTTTGCATTAGCTTATTCATAAAAGCAAATTAGCACACCTAAATAATCTGTTAAAATTTACTTGAGATTTCAAATAGAATTATGAAGGATTTCATGTAGCAGTTTCTCATCATATCTTTTAACATTCACAAATGCTCCTTTTGCCTTGATGATCTACTTAACCAACTAATCATGAATCTGTGCTGTCAATTTAGGGTTTGGTGTTTTACCCCTTGTTCTGGCAACCTCTCATAATTCAGCTCTCTCTACTTCATTTGGTTCACATCTTGAATTGTGTAGCCCAAAAAGATAAGTCCTAATCTCCTGCTAATGTAACTTTATTTGGAAAGAGTCTTTCTGGATGTAATCAAGTTAAGATGGTACCATTATAAAAAGAAGAAAATTTTACTACAAGAAGACACAGAGGTAAGATGGCCATGTGAAGATGAGGACAGAGATTAGAGTTATGCTTCAATAAAACAATGAACACCCAGAGATAATGGAAGCCTGAGGAAGCAATGAAAGAGCCTCCCCTAGAGGCTTCAGAGGGATTATGGCCCTGCCAACACCTTCATCTGGGTCTCTACAGCTGTGAGAGAATGACTGTTGTTTTAACCCAGTTTGTGCTATTTTCTTATAGAAACCATAAGAAACTAATACAACTTCTTTTCAGAGCCTCATATATTTTAATCCTACCTATCATGCTGTACTTCTGACTCTTTATCAATCTCCAGGGCTAATTTCTTTATCTCTAACTCAGGTCTGGCATTTAGTTTCACACAATATTTGGCTTATTCTATAATCATAAAACCAAAAGGATTTACTAAAAGGCCTCTGCCAAATGATTTACATTTAATTTTACCAAAAAGAAATTTGTTGAGTGGCACGTAATTTTATTTATAATTTTAATGACTTTAAAAACTATTATTTTATAGATAGCAGAGATGTTTCAAATCAATATAAACCAAATATCTAAACTGTGACTTATATGGCTTTGTTCTTAATTAAGTAGATCAAAGAAGATGAAGTCTGAAAAATTCCCATTGAATATAACAATTACTAAGTCATTGGTCATTTTAGTAAGAGCAATTTCAGTGTAAGGGTGAAGATCCTTTATAATAAAAGCCCAATATGCAAATTGTCCCCTCAACTGGCAGTTCTACTGGGAGTTTGACTGCTCGCTATGATGTGCGCTGACCACCAGGGGGCAGCACAAACATGGCGGGCATTGGCGACGTGGCACTGGCAGTGGGCAGCAGTGGAGACGCTGCAGTCCCCAATGGACCCTGACAACAGCAGGACCGTGGCAGGATGTTGGAGCAGGTGAGTAGGCGGAGCCAGGCCAAGGCAAGTGTGAGCAGGGGGCCTCTTTATTTTGTTGTCAGTTTCTTTTGCTTTGCAGAAGCTTTTTAGTTTGATTTAGTCCCATTCATTTATTTTTGCCTTTACTTCCCTTGCCTTTGGGGTCAAGTTCATAAAATGTTCTTTATTACCAAGATCCATATGCTTGGTACCTATATTTTCTCCTATGTAACTTATTGTTTCTGATCTTATATTTAGGTCTTTGATCCATTTTGGATTCATATTTGTACATGGGGTCAAACTATAATCCAGTTTTCATTTGTTTGCATGTGGCTTTTCAGTTTTCCTAGCACCATTTATTGAATAGACTATCTTTACCCCATTAAGTGTTTCTGGCTTCTTTGTCGAAAATTATCTGTTCATATACATGTGGTTTTATAGCTGGGCTCTCTATTCTGTCTCGTTGATCTGTGTGTCTGTTTCTCTACCAATATCATGCTATTTTGATTATTGTAGCTGTGTAGTATAATTTCAAGTCAGGTAGCATGATAACTCTAGCTTCATTCTTTTTCTCATCTTTTGTGACTCCATACAAATCTGATGGTTTTTCATTCTATTTCCTTAAAAAAAGACATTTGAATTTTGATGGGGATTGCATTAAATCTATGTATTGCTTTGGGTAATATG